GTCATTCGTTGCCTGAAGGTAGCTGTTATTCAAGCCTTCTCAAGCCACCGCCAGCAGTCCATGGAATTGAATTAAGTGGAAATAGAAGATTTCTAAAAGTCAAAATTCAGGGTCCCTGTAGGCGTATCCTGCACGGTGATCGGTTCATACCGCTCAGGTTGTTCTGGCATCACTGTTTCAGCTTCAGTGGCTTTAGTAGAAAGGCTATCTTGTTAGTCGGAAACGTACGGATTCTGTCTCGAGTAAGGAAAATATATATTTTAAGGTCATCTAGAGATCGTCTTATCGTTTGATTTCGAGAACGCTATCAGCTAGAATTACTTGGGACCTTCCAGCCGACACCGTCGATGCAGCCAGCTAGTTCAAGTTGATTCTGTAGGAGCTTATTGAGACGTTTCCGGAACCTTCGTGGGTATGCGGCAAAACAGATGGAGGCTGTTAGGCACCCCAGATTTGGATCAAATGCTACCTTTATGGACGAAATTCAAGAGGATGTTGAACCTAAAAAACCAAGGAACATTGTAGAAAAGCTCAAAATAGAGGTTGGGACTATATCAGTTTCACTGTACCGGATGATTCTCTCGTAAAAACTGACTACTTTGAAGCCTAGAAATTTGATTATATACTTGATATCGTATACCTAACTGAGCTGCCAATGTAATATAAATAATTTCCAAATCTGCCAATCATATGTATCCCTGTGATTGATGAATAACTCTGAGAGCGGTATATGCCACCCGTTGCAGAACTACTCTGCTGATAGTTCTGTAGCGATAAGTGAATAGTCCCTTCAACCAATTCGAGAAAGGCTTTTCTTGTGATCCTTCAATTCATGAAGACCATTTTGAAGATAATACTGACTGAAGCTCTGTATTTTACCAGTGTGAAATTCGAGATATAAAGAGTAAACACAGTTGTTGACTGAAAATCTTTATAATCGAAACTAAATTCTGTCTATGAGAAAAGCAACGGATTTGTTGATCAATATCCAGGAGCAGTGCGAGGAGGTGGGCAGTGGTCGCAGGCGCCTGGTGCTCCAGCATCTCCGTCTTCTCCGTTGCTTCCATCATTTCCTGGTTGTCCTGGGGCTCCAGGTTGTCCATTGTCTCCAGGCTGTCCTGGTCCACCATCTTGTCCAGGGTTTCCTGGGGCTCCTGGCTGACCATCGGGTCCAGGAGGTCCAGGTGGTCCAGCTGGGCCAGGTGGTCCTTGTGTGCCGGGAACTGTGGTGAGAGTTCCTGGAGCTCCTGGGGCTCCGGGGTTTCCTGGTTGTCCATCATTTCC